TGATGATGATGATGATTACAATTAAGATGAGGATGATTGCGATGATGACAATGAAGAATAAGATGATGAGGGTGATCAAGATAATGAAGATGATGATCATGATCATGATGGCGATAATGATATTGATGATGATTAATATATTGATTTGATGATGGAAATAATACTGATGGTGATGATTTGATAATGAAGATAATCGATGATAAAGACGATGATGATGAAGATAATCGATGATGAAGATGATGATTGTGATATTGATGGTGATGATATTGATTTGATGATGCTGGTGATTATGGTTATGATGATTTGATGAGGMGGATGATGATGATATTCTTTTGTTYTCATCAGGATCAACMCATGATTGGTCCCAYATMACTGAACAGATTGGCATGTTTTGTTTTACTGGATTAAAACCRGCCCAGGTGAGTCTTATTTTCTCAATACTTCCTATTTTCCYATTTTTTCATTTATTCAAGAAGTCATTTACAGGTTTTCAAGATGGAATATTTGACCATCTACTGCTGCAAGATTTCCCATATTTCATTCTTTTCCATTCCAGTCATTTCCTTACATGACCGTTAATTGTTTGACCAAGGAATTTTACTTTCCCATTTCACTTTCTTATTTTCCATACATTCCAAATTCATTTACTTGCATTGCATTTAGATTGTGTGACCAAGGAATTCCCTGTTTCCCATTCATTCACAATTAACAACTCATTTTCCTATGTTATAGGTGGAGCGTTTGACCAAGGAATTCTCMATCTACCTGACAAAGGACGGCCGAATTTCTATAGCTGGTGTGACATCAAGCAATGTAGAATACTTGGCCAAAGCAATGCATGAAGTCAGCAAATGAAAAAGTAACTAGAAATGTGAACATCAAGGTTATTATTGACAGAGTGGCTACTCGGTGAGAGTTAAAAGGACAGACCTAGAGGGGAGGGGGTAAGGAAGAATATTTTGTCCCCATTGTTCCAAGTACATAAAGTGTTTCCACGGCAATACATGATTTAGCTTATAGGTCAATATAACATTTTGTAATAAGTTTTAATAAAAAAGAGTTTGGATATTATAATGTAGAACACTTTCAGGAAAAATAATAAATATAAAAATTGGCATCAAAATGTCAAAAAGTAGCTTTTGGTTACGTGGTGAAACATCAGTCATCTTGCCACTCTTGGAATGTTTGAACATATTTGTCTGTACGAGTAGATACCTGGAGGTCCTATGTTGCTAGGGCAATTCAATTCAATTATTAGGTTACAGACTCCTGGCACGTGACATCAAAGCAGTTCCAATTTGGAGAACAAAACAAAAGAATCAATCTTCTTTGAATTGAAGCCCTTTAGTTTTGTCCTCAAAGTTGAGCTGCATTCTGATGTACTGCAAAGGATCTGTTCGTAATGTTCAAGTGTTTGGTGGAGGGGGTTTTTTCTTCCGCAAAAATTGTAAAATGATCCCTATCCCTTCCCCCCTTGTGGGAACTCCTGTGTACACCCATGGCTGTGGAAAATTAGCTTAAGCATGTCTTCCCTTAGGCATTTTCTCTGTTGTCCAGTAACATGGTACTTGAATCTGGATGTAACCATATATGAAAAAAGGTTCACATCTAATAGGTGTTGAAATGGGAAAACCTCATGCCAATTGCAAAGCTGTTAAAAAGTGCATGAAATCTCACTGGCAGGTCATTAAATAAAAATCTTTGGACCACAACAGTGATTCAATGAGGAAAACAACAACAAGAATGTTTTTAAATAGCTTTTATTTGGCTACGTAATTTCTAAATTAAATTCTACCTAATATATTATCATACATGAAAACTAAAATAAATGTTCTATATATTGATTTACAGTGGATATGAGGTCACAGAACTTGGGCTGAGCTGTTCAGAGCCAAATTAACAAATTCTTAYCTAAAGACTTCAGATCACTTTGTGATCAATCCTAAATTATGAATATYAATCAGGTTTTGAACAGCCCCTTCTGTGATCCTGTGACCCTTTACCCACTTTCCCAGCTAGTGAATCCTTTACAAGTTTCCATGGATACCTGAAGAGCACCCCTAAGCGTGGTTCTCAATAGCAACGCAAGCCAACACAAGCTGAGCAAAAGCCAGATCAAGAAAACACAAAATCTTCCATTATCTTGCACTTGCACCTGATATAGTGAGAACATGSACTTGCTTGGAGTGGCATGCGTCTCCCTGCATTGCTAGTGAGAACCAGGCTTTGTAGTAACTTCACAACTCACTAAACTTACTGATGGTGACTTTTCCTATACTATTAAATGAGTTAGATTATCACTAAGTCTAAAGCAAGCTAAGCGTTAATTCAAATATAGCTATTTAAGTTTTATTCTGTAAGCATCAGCAAAGATAAATTGCCATTTTTTATGTAAAAAAAAGTGACCATAAAGCTARTGTTGAGGAAGACCCTTTGTTGCTACGTAATTATATAAATAATCTTCAAAAATATGTTAATGCAAAAAAGGATGCCAGCAAAATATAAAAATAATATATTCGTAAATATTTTACAGCTTTTTACAAGTTRTCATACAGCCCTAAAAGCCTCTCTTCTATGATAAGTAGTAGATATTTGTAACCATTTTTAAGAAAATGAAATAGAAAATAAGCATGGCCTCAAAGTTCGGGTTGTTACGACAAATGAGACTAAAGAAAAAATTGTTTGTTAAATTCAACCAACATGGCGGTCATGACAACCAGCAAAAAGGCAGCCATTGCGTAGGGAAGGAACGATGATATGTATGTCTTTTTTTTTTTCATGAAAAAATTTTTGCTTATAGATAACATGGCTTCTGTGTAGACTGGCACTATATTAGCTGGTTTCCATGGCACCATATTACCTGGTTTCCATGACACCATATTAGCTGGTTTCCCATCTCATTTTCGTTCCCATAATGCAAACTCTGGAAACGAGAATGGTAAGTTCTCGTTTTTGAATGTCCAAGAGATTGCATCTTCAACACAAGGTCTTAAGTCTTGCAGAGGCATATCGCCGGGCAAGAATCCACCATAGCAGCACGTCAGAATGCAGCTCAATCTGGAGGACATAACAGTAAGTTTCCAATTCTCAGGAGATTGAAAATCTTTTGTTTTGTCCTCCAAATTGAGCTGCTTTGACGTCACATGCAAGAGGTCCATATGCGTATGAAATATATACATGTATACGAGGAGAATAAATCGCTAATAGGAAGCAGAATATAGGCGTCGGAATCCTACTTGGTATAAGTAAAGGAAAGATGAAGCGCAAAAAGGCTAGCTCTTGTTTTAATTAAGAGTGACTTCATTCAACCCGTAAACGACCGTTCATTTTTTATGGGGTAGAAGTGCAGTGGGAATCACTCGTGCGACTCGATTTTTTAAGTGTCTCTCTTCCCCACCCCTCCTTTGGGACTGAATATTTTTATGATTCCCTAAAATCCCACAGGCCTAGCCTACCCGGTAAAACATAGAACCGTCCCTACAATAAGGTCTAATGTCACAATCAAATGGCAACCTGCTGGAGTAGGATGAATACAAAAGAAAGCAATAGGATTGGTCTTAATAATATGGCTGAAGGTGTAGTAATGCGTATATATCCTCACGGAATATGAGCAAACGACTCAATATTTCATACTCGAAGATGCCTCTCTTCCTTGCTTCCTTGCTTGCTTGCTTGCTTCCTTCCTTCCTTTCTTTCTTTCGCGTACCTTCATCCTTTTGTTTTCTTTCTTTCCCTTCCCTTCTCTACCTTCTATAACGATTTTTGTGAACACATGAAAACAGGAAAACAAAACGCAATAAAAGTTTCTCGCCCTGTATAGTTAAATAATTATAGATCCACCGCATATGTAAATGTATTTTTACCTAAACTAAAAATGTCCAATATGATTCTACAAACGAAGATTGAATAGATAGAATAGATTAGTAGAGGGGACTGCTCTCRTTGTCCCCCTATTAACTATAAACCTTAATAAAAATGGACAGTAAACTTCGACGTATCCGCAGAACAGAATTAATCATATCTAGTATCGACTATCAGTGTTTACAATCTTATTGTTTAGATTGGACAGTCATAATTTGATTGACTAGTATATAATGGTACGATGAAAGGACTATCTCTTGATGGCAAAAAGAAAGCGAGACAGGTAAACTAATGAAGCGCACAAAGTTAGCAGGTCTATAGCAAACAAACCGTGAACAAGACATCTTTGTGCGATAGTCTGAAACTACGAAATAAAGTCTAATACCAATATATTAAAATAAATTTTGAAAGTTAAAAGGTTTACAAAGTTTACAACGATTCTTTCATTTCGATTCGTTCCTCGGGCTAGCCGGCTGAAGGTGGCAAAGTCCAATGAATAAATGCTCTAACGACCCAAATAACAAAATTGATCAGACGGGGTTAAATTGTCAAAAACATGCGAAAAGAAAATTACATTCAAACGATCTTCAATGTTATTTGTCTAGTRTTAGGCTGATAACTAATGAAGTGGTAGCTAAACACGATAACAAAGAACGAAATTTATCGAAAAGGTTCTTACGGATCAAGTAAGTCTTCGTTGTGAGCGGAGGTAACTACACGTGCAACTCGTCATTCACGAGATGAACCWAACTCCTTGCCACAAAACTATCACGAGAACAATAAAAAAATACAATCTTTTATCGTTGAGAAATGATCAATGGTGTTAACGACTTATTGTTATTATCGAAACAGAATTCCTAAAAAATCTGTTCACAGCGCATTTTGAAAAGCGAGATTTTTTGTTTTCGAGGATAAAAATTTGAATAAACCATTATAGTTTTATCAAATGAAAGAGGCTTACTTAAGGAAAGACGATTTTCTTTCAAATGAAACCAGAGCTATACGCTTCTTAAACAAATCCGAAAAACGAGTTTGTTCAAATAATTAACATGTGAAAGAATAGCGACAGTATTGTCAAGAAAATGACAGACTTACAAGCACTGTTTGTGTTCCTTCAACACTTGAATTTATACCCCAGAAAAGTCTATCGATGGACAGGTCTGATCTGCGTCCAACGCAAGGTAATCATCAAAAGACGGAGTCTCATGTAGACCAGGTTGTGAAGATACAMCAATGCTTGGGCAAGTTGGCCGAGAATGAACAWATTCTTCTTTGCATTTAAAGTCGTACYTAGGCCCAGGTACGAKTTGCCAAGAACTATTAGCGGTTGAACTGCTTGATGGCGACTCGTGGAATATATGGTTGGACATTTTGGACTGGATTTCTTCGGTAATATCGGGGACATCCCAGTTGAAGTTGTCGTGAAAAGCACTCTCTCGTGAGCAAGCTCTTTCGAGCCCTGGAAGCGAAGATGGTGGAGAAGTTCCGCCAGCGTTGCGAGTCACATGAGAATCGTCTTGCAGATGGTAGTGCAATCTCGGAGGAGAACGAGAACACGAGATATCCATTCCTTTCCCGTTTCGTTCTCTTCTCTGTTCTGTCGGACTCWCTCTTCGATACGAAGGGATATGATGAAGACTGGGTGGTGGTGAAAAACTCTCCACTGATTCGATATTCTCCAAAGGTTGAACCGTGGGAGAAAGWATCTCTGCAGAAGACATACTCATCATTTCTTGGACGCTATCTGACATRTAATGATGCGTATCTTTTATCTTGCATTGAATTTGTCGGATTTTTTTCCTTGCCAGAACTTGGATATGACTGGCTACTTGTTTTCTAGTTCTCATTTTACCAGTTTTCATTAAGATGTACCTCGCTATTAATTCGTTTCGTCCATACATTTTGTCTTTGGTAGATAACATGATCTTCTGACGTCCACAGGGTGGGTAGATCGCCAGGGCTTCTTGGAAACTCTTTTCTATTTCTCCTGCCCAAAGGCCTTCTCCTTCCGACATTAGTGATGCGTTTCTTGTTTCGTGAAGTTTRCCTTTTTTCTTTCTGCCTTGAATTGATGGATTGACTGATCTTTGACCCAAGAAATATCAATACCACGTACAGTTATTATCACAGAAAACTAATAAATATACTGCCTCAAATAATCCCAGTTCTTGTGTAGCTCGATATGTGTCGCGCTGTCCAAGCGAAGYGAACACAAGAGAAGGCAACGGTTCACACAAGCTATCTTTTCGAATCTAAACTACAAGGAAGATAGCCTGCCTTCGCTACGACGCTTGCTTTCGTTTTCTGCTTAAACAACTGTCACAAGTTAAGATAATAGTCGGACTCGTTAAAAGTTGACAACCAATACATTATTAACACTGGTTGGATGCTGGTAACTTATGATGATTATATAATAATATAACTCGCTTCAATTAACATGGTACCTGGTATTCGACCACCGAGAGAAGGCAATGACCCGCCTTCCTTCGGATAAGTTTTCAMAGGATAACTCTGTCTTCCGTCGAATTCAATCATTCATAAACAACTAAACTCTTTTTTTTTCTTTTTCATAAAAAGAGGACGAAATTAAAGCTCTTTTCAGTTGAAAGTTAATACTAGTTGGAAAAACGGTATTCTAATTGCTTTAGCACTTTAAGTGGCGGGTTTTTACAAAGCAAGTTGGTGCCTTTTAAACACTTGTTGCACCGTTGTACCAGAACTGAACACCATCAGTTTACAGTCCTTTGTGAATTTAAGTCTAAAAGTTGAAACTAAAAATCCTATAGCAAAAACAAAAAAAAAACTTTCAAAAAAACTTTTTTTCCCTGCTTATCATGATCACCAGAAGCAATTATATGCACGAGTTGACTGGATATAAACAAACCGAAATAATAAACTGGGGGGAAATAATCAAAACCAGAGGAAAATTATGTCTTTGAATTTTTAGTAAAACTGCAATATTTGAGATTTATTAATTTATTCAAGTTTTGAAGACAAAATTATAAAGAAGGAAAATAAAAACAACTTGAACTGAAACGTATTTGGAGTGTTACTTCTTTCAATTCAAACCAGTAAGAAGAARAAAATATATAAGCACTGATTCCCATAACTTTTTAGAAAAATTCTCTACGGATATTCTAAGGAGAGCATTTTATTTTAGAAATATTTCTTTTTCTTTTTTCTTTCTTTTTGTTTATGAGTATCCTGATAATTATGTAAAGTATTTAAAGAGGTCGAAGTGCTATTTTGTTTATGTCTTCTTGTGACAATAATCTATATTATTATGTCCCCCCTACAAGTCTTACAAGCTGGATAGACAAGTCCTACTGTACTATGTCACACCCCCCTATAGGGTAACAACAGGTGAATCTTTTTTCCACACAGCTACACTTCAATGGTTTTCGATGAATATGACAAACGAATTTTTTAAAGGACCTAATGAAATTCCCATTAAACTTTGGGCCCGACTTTTATATCTTTTTTATTGTCGATTCGTGTTTTGGATAATCAAATTGAAGGGAAATATTTTAACTGAGAATAAAAGTCACTGAAACGAATTGTTGGCTTTATTTCGTTGGTTTTGCCTGTCGTTCAAAGAAAATTTTTATTTTTCAATTTGCAGTCATTCGGAAATAAGTCCTGTTGCTAATAATCATCACGTCTCCTGCAGATCTATAAAAATGAATTTATTGCTGCATTCTCATCCCACGGATACACTGTCAAGACGTTTTATTGACGGGAGACCACTTTACAAGCAAACGCAAGTTTCATTGACATTAGTACAATAATCCCTCTACCCTACCCCTGTGGATATAATTTTGATACAACGGCTGCAGATTCCCCTGAACGCCACAATAAAAAACTTTTTTCTTGCTACCACAATAAAGAAATCCTTTTAGTAACAAGATCATATTTTATATTTCGTTCGTCAAAATCGCATACGAATTTATTGCGTAGACTTGCTCAGATCTGAATAAGCATTATTTATTTATAACATACAAAATAATAAGTAGGGGAACAATGACTTTTAAATGRCTTTCCGGAGGAGCCAATCAAAGAGCAAGAAAAACGTCAACCACCAACAGGGTTCTTGAACGGGAAGCCATTTGGCAGTTATATGACAGTCAACTTAGGATTTATATCTCAACTTTCTAAGAAAATTATTCAATCAAATCCCGACCTCGAAAACATTATTTTAATCTCAACTTCTATGAAATTTTTAGCATCGCGACCTTTGTTTTTCAAACTTCAATTCAAGATTTTCTCAGTTCAGTGAATCGTGTCAAGGGGCGTAACTGCAAATCTAGTTTTAAGAAACGAACGAATTCAATGAAAGGGAATTCTTCACCAAAGAAAAGTTTGTCGTTACTTAATTTCGCCGTTGGCACAAGTCACGCTACTCATCACACTTAAGGTAAAGCGCATGCTCAGGAAATTAGCAAATACAAAGGAGACTTGAAAACAATTAAACACAGGGTCAATCCTGCAAAGTTGCTTACTTATTTTTCATATTATTTCCGTGTAATTTTTATGCCTAGATTTTATTTGCTTTTTGATAGAAAAGGTTTTTAGTGTCTACATGTACAAACCACGCTACAATAAAGCACTATCACGACATTTAAATGGCTCTTCCTATGGACCAATAAAAATCAATGAAAAAAGAAACAAGCCAATCACAGAGCTTGAATAGGAGGGTGTTTTACACCTAATCTCACAACAATAATAATAATGACACCTATAAYTATTTCCCTGGACCAATGAAAAGCAACGATAAAACTAGCCAATCACAGAGCTCGATTAGAAGGGTGTTTTACGCCTAATCTCACATAATAATCATATTTACCCATACTACTGTCTAAAATTGGTTTGTATCAGCAAACGTGCCTCTTAAGATGGTGCTTACTTGTCTTATTTAAATAGTCTCTTTGAACGACCACTCTCGTAAGCGACCATCTCCCATAAGCGACCACCTTTTGAATTTCCCGTTTTGTTCCCCATATAAACTCTGTTAAAAAAACTCTCTCGTAAGCGACCACTCTCGTAAGCGACCGCGACCACCTTTGGGGTTAAAATTTTGGAATTTTTCATTGTTTTTCCTCTCCCGTAAGCGACCACCCAAGAGCCAGTAATGGTGACAGATCCTATACAATAAAAAATTTAAGAACATAGAGTCATCTGGTATTGAAAACCCGACGAAATATTGACAATTACACTACTGTAAAAATATAGCACATTCAAAATTTTGATCAAAACATTTTAATCRTTAATACAGTAGTTTTTACACGACGTGAGTTACAAAATCATAAATGGTTTAGGCTTCCTGTGTTGGGATTCCCATTGTTTGGGCTTCCTGTGTTAACTCTCGTAAGCGACCATCTCCCGTAAGCGACCACTTTCTCCTGGCCCCCAGGTGGTCGCTTACGGGAGAGTCGACTGTATCAATATTTGGACCATTGTTGAATGTGCCTTTAGAAATATTAATCATTGCTCTTGAATATGAAAGACATTTTTCAACTAGCACTAAAGCTTTATCCCTTTTGCCTTTCTCGCGTAGCAACTATGTTGGCTGGAACGATAAATTTTCACCATGTAGCCTCACATCCAAGTGCTTCGAAATGAGTTTCAGAGGGCAGAAACAAAGGTTATTATCTTCATGCAAAAAAACATGGCACCATATAATGAAGAACCAGTAAACTATGTATCTCAATATTTCTGGCTGAGACATAACATAACTAAAAGTGACTGAAAAATTCACATCGAAAACCTTTCCTTAACTAGAACACAATTTAGTTGTCTTAAACTCCAATAAATATTGACCAATTCTTTTAATTTAACTTTCACTGATATAATAATTTATACATAGCAGGCTCTCTCTAGTTACTATAAAACAGAGAGCTTAACATAACGGCCAGTAAGTCGCCAGTAATGATGACCGTCCAAATTGATTTAGCTCAGTCATACCCTGTTTCTGGCTAAGTGTTACTGGTCAAAATGACTAGCAAGGCAAAGATTCGAACAGACAAGTTCCAATTCTGAGTGATTATTGTCCGATGTCCAGCCGTTATTTTAAGCCCTGAACAATACAATCAATATTACCATCCAGTCTTATTCCTCATCATCTTGCTGTCTTGTTTTCATCAATAATGTGTCCACATCAGCCAGGTATTGTGCCTGCTTATCAGGCATAAATATGACTCTTGGTGAAATATTAAGGTGGTGGTAACTAGGTAACAACAATCTGGATTGGAAGAGTGGAGAAAAAAGTTAGAAACCTGTTTACCACGCTCATGTTTCCCTGATGTTTCCCAGTTTAGTTACATGTGAAACATTGCTACATGCAACAAATTTTGCTACCAAGACGCAAAAAATGTATTTTACTGTGCGGCAGAAACATTTCATGCTTCCAAGACGCATGCAAACAATGTTTCACAATATTTCCTGACAGTTTTGCCACCTTTGGAAACATTCAAGTAAACATATTTCTGGAAACATGTTTCCTTGTTTAGCCAAGACCTTAGTTAGTATGCTGCATGGGTGGGTTTGGGGTGGGGGAGAGGAGGGGGGGAGAGGGAGGGCTGATGTGGTAACTGTAACCTCTCAGCTGATCTGAAATAGTGACGTAGAAAAGACGTCACTACCAAAAATAAGGTGTCATGAATCCTGCAAAAAAAATTTCGACAAAAAATAAAACCCTGCCTGCCATTGAAATAGAAATATGAAACTCAACTCATTGATTATTGTGTTCCTGTAATTAAGTGCGTATTAGCAATGCTATTGTTTTATTTGGCAGCCTGGAAATCCATGATTTCAAGAGGAAAGTGACACCTCAGTTTTGCTAATTTTTTTTGATTCTGATTGGCTAACCTTTAAAAGTATCCAAAAAAGGTTCAAAATATCCCTAGAATGCAGGAAATAGTTCACTTGCCTGAAAACCATATTCTATGTATTTCCTTAGCTGCTTATTGCCCTCAGACCTAGCTCCTCTGGTGTCATTTTGCCAGTGGTGAAATTCATCTAAAACCATTTTTTGCCCCCCCCCCCCCCCTCGCCGCACCTTTCAGATTCCTGGATCCATCTATTGCCCCATTTCCTCCAAATAATGAGTGATCATTTGTAAACTTAAAGCACACAGTTATAAATACCTTATAGCATTTTGATTACTTTGAAGCAGTTTTTCTATATTATCATTAGCACCATCTCCATCAGACCTCCAGTAAAATGTCACATGACCACAGTCACGTGCTATCTTCACCTAAAATATAAATATCAAGAAAAGGCACATTTAAAAAAAGTTGTGTATGCACAAATTAGGCTTTTATTGTTTTTGAATTACATAAAGTCTGTCCAGTATCTGAAGTGCACTTTTTCACATTCTCCCAATCTTTCTATTTCTTGAATGAAAAAATTCATATGATTAGCCAATAACCACACTAGTCAACTTTAATATGATATGTTATAATTATTTAATTATTTATTTATTATATGGGATTTTGCCTGCAGGCTGGTGCTGTACAATAGGACTCAGGGTCCCCTCAGCATTTCTGTCTTACTGATATTATTTACCTTTGTTATCTCAATGTTACAGTCTAAAAGTCTGGGATCAACTTCATTACCCTCGAGTAAGCTAGCCATGGCCTGTTGTAATGTGGATGCTAATGCATCCTGTCTGATGTTATGGGTGGTATTGGTAGTTGTACTTCCTGGTAATGAGTCCAACTGGAAGGTTTGTAGCTTACCTGGCACCTTAGTTAATTTAGGAAAATGAAGGTTATTGTAGATGTACTGTAAATGTATCATACATTATAATAGCCTACATTGGGGGTTCCCCTCATCCCCTCCTCCACCCCGGGAGGGGGGGCTACTCCCCTATATTCGCTATACAGGTACATGCCGCCAAACTGAGTATGGTTTTCAGCGATTCTACTTTTGAACAGGGTATTTAAAATCCCTCTCACTCTGGGACAGGGTATATGAAATCACGCTCTCTCCTCTCTGGAACAGGGTATCCATTTTTGCAATACCGGAACAGGGTATGATTTTCAGGGATCTTGCTCTGGAACAGGGTATGAATTTCAGCGATTTTACTCTGGAACAGGGTCAGGGTTCACTGGGCTCAGCGGCACATCCCTACCCTAAACGGGCAAGAGTACCTCCCCGGATCCTCCACAAGCCCCCCACCCTCTGCCTCCCCCTCCACCCTGAATTTGGGACGCTACACAGGCCACTATCATAAGCATTTATTGTTTGACTAAAATGAAAACGATGGGAAGCCAGCGTTATAATCCATGTAATTGCCTCATGACAGGAAGTCGCCCGATCGCTATACATAATTTCCGTACACGATATGTGGAGAGTGAGACTTACCGAGTCTTTCTGCTTTTCATTGTTTCTGTTTTGAATGGAAAACAAAAGATAGCGTAAAAAATTTCAATGGATCTGCCAGGAGCTTTGAAGATGAAGAAGTYGAGTCAAATAACTTACCTAAACTTTCTCTTTCTCTTACTTTGATTTGATAAATTAAATTTATCGTTTTTGTTCGTCTTTTCTGATATGTGCAATGYTCTCCTCTGAACTGCAGATAAAGACGTACATCCTATCTTATTCATTTTATTTGAAATCTGTTTTAGATGTCTTGATGATGCTAAAAAGCAGAATGAATTTGAAAAGCGCAAACAGACCCTGGAGGCCGCCATCTTTGTTTTTCTACCTTAGTACACAGGAGGCCCAATACATTGAGACGTGGTATTTTGGATGATTACAAAACTTAAGAATTCTTAAACTTCTAAATTTAGTTAATAATGTTTTCAAAATTCGTTGAAAATTAAATATGTTTTTTTTAAAAATCTTTTTGCGCTCCACAAGTTGTAGAAATAATCATTTGAAAATACTTGACATTCTGCTATTGGGGTCCCTGTGTGATTAGAAACATGGCGGACGAGGAAGGAACTTGTTCTACTTCTCAACCAAAAAGGCTAAAAACCGGACCACGAAAGTATTTAAAGCTTCCAATTGAAGTGTGTGAGAGCCATGAAGATGTCCTTTATCACATACAGCGTGCAATTGCTTCGAAATATTTGCCTTTTCAAGGTATTACAATGGTTCATTTGGACTCCCATCCTGACCTGACCATTCCGATGAAGATGCCTGCAGACTTGGTTTTCGAACCTGAACGACTTTTTGAACGGATAAGCATTGCTGACTGGATCCTGCCGGCTGTTTATGCAGGTCATATCAGTCGTCTCGTATGGGTTAAACCAGAATGGGCTGACCAGATGGAGGAGAAATCACAGCAAAAGTTTTATGTTGGTAAAGACAAAGACACAGGTTATTTGAGGTAAGGAAAAGCCGTGTTTGCAACGCATGTTACTGAAGTTGTAGCCCCCTCATACAAATATGTGCAAAATCTTTATAATTTGTGAAAGAATGTTAGCAGCTACCTATTCTTCGTTTGCAATAGACGTCATAGCCGCCATGWTGGAAGAATTTGACAAAAGATTTTTCAATGAATTCTTTTGTTATATCTTCCAACATGGCGGACTTCCCTTTTGTTATTGTGCGCTCTTGGGATTGATTGCAAACCAAGAATTCATAGACTACAGCCCAGCCTACTACCTCCCCACCCCCCTCCTCCACAAAATTATCCTTCCACCTGAGCTAATGTTGCACACAAAAGAGGCTTCATTGCTCTTTCTGAGGAACAAAACTGGGTTGTTAATAACACATGAGATTGATACTAGGGTTTAACTTAATCTCATTGGGGATGCCCTTTATGCTTAACCTCTACCTTATCCCCACCCCCACCCCCTTTTTTTCCACAAAAAAGGAAATATTATAATTTCCTAGTGAAGGGGTCTAAGGGAATGCCTTATGAACATTGGAGCTTTGTTATATTGAACTAGTCTCTTAAGGGAGCGTTGTGAGTCAGCCCTGATAAAACTTGTGTATCGTTGTACAGTTTAGCTGCCTTTTGCAGATGCTGAAGATTCATAAAACATACATAAATTTTATTTATTTTAGGGTTTCCTGTGTGGATGACTATTATCTGGAAGAACTTCTCTATGCTCCTCAGGACCAGCTGGAAAATTCCCAAGAACTTGAGCTTATTATGTTTACCTTAAAATCGACCAAGAATTTATCAACAGCTGCTAAAGACAAGAAAGAAGTGATGAAAACTGATGGTCTTATGATCGAGGGAGCTAAATCTTTATGCCAACCACAAAGTAATTATAAAAAAAGCCATGAAGACAAACAAAAAGAAGAAAAAGCTACCAAGCAAAATAATGAAATGTTAGAGGAACCAGAATCAGAAGAGGAATATTTCACATTGCAAGGTTCATTTAATATTCAAGATGTTGAAAAACAGGGAAATTATAAACCAGAAGAATCAGTGCGTTTATCTGAGTTACTAAAAACATTATTATCAGACAATGAACCATATATATTGGATATTGATATGGATTTCTTCTCTACTAAAAACCCTTTTAACGAACKTTTCAATGAGGTATTGTCAAATCACTTCATATACTATATTTATAAAGGTTATTAACTATGTATGTACACGTATTTCAAAAAACATTGTCCGTCGGAGATCTGAAATTTGACACAATTTGCCATTACACAGGTCATCGCTCAAGTTGCAGAGTAATTGTTGCTCACATTACCAATCTTGCAAACAAGATTTTTATCTTTGCAAAGAGTTGAGTTAAAAAGTAAATATGTTGTGCAGAAAGAGGTAATATGAGCCACATTTGCTTTGCAACTTGCAATGCAACAAATTGCACAACATGTTGCACAATTTTGTGGTCGATATTACCACATCTTAATTGCCACAGAGGTTTTTCTCTTGGTTGTCCAGCTTTCCTCCCTGCCAGCATTGTAGCTAACTCATTTTGTTTTTTGTTTTSCTTTCAGGAGGAGTTCCAGAGTCTTAGACAAATATACAACTTTATTCCACCAACATCAAAACAGAAAGAAGTTAGTAATTTTAGGATAGTAGAGTATTAGTGGCATTTAATTAATTTGCTGATAGCACGTAGTCTTTCACCACTGTGATTTCAAAGGTTTGGGTGACTGGTTTGAGCCCTGTGGACACCATACATAAATBGAGTTTGTTTGATGTGTTGTTCAGACTCTCCTATGCTACAAGGGTTTTCTCCAGGTTCTCTGGTTTACCTCCCTCTCTAAAAATCAACATGTGAATTGAGCGTTGTCTGCATAGAACATTGAATGTAGTAGTAGTGTGTGTTTGTGTGTGTGAAATTAAAAATGCCTCCAATTAGTGCAAAAGTACTAGAACAACTAGACACTTAATAAATAATAATAAATGAATAAATGATATTTATAATACATGTAGCATAAAGACTGATGTAATTTATTTGTGGAATTATGCATCCCATGTTCATGCATTCAATGCATATTCATTTTTAGGACTTGGACAACTGCACAGAGGCAAGAGCTGCTCAACTAGCTTGCATAGACTTTACATTTGAATATTTTAAAACTGGAGGAAGTGGAAAAGACTCCACATGTGAAGGAAATATGATGGTGAATAAGCAACTTTTGAATCTTCTGGAAGAGATGAAGGAATATGGTGGAGAAGAGCCTGACTTGGAACTGGTATGTAAACAAAATGACCCTTGTTGTAAGAGAAATGAGAAATTACCAAAACACAAAACCCTTGAGGTTAGAGAGTGTCAGAGAAAAAAATCCCAAACATACTCTACTGATGTATGAATCAAGAATTAAACTAGCCACATGCTAAATTCCAATTTGATATGTGATTTAGCCCTGCCCTGACTTTGATCAGCCCAGAAGTTGTTTCAGGGTTTGATCTGTGAGTTAACCATGCACTGACTTAGATCAACACAGAGGAACATTTCAGGGTTTGATCTGTGAGTTAGCCATGCCCTGACTTAATCAGCTCAGAGAATGTTTCAGGGTTGAAAGATTTTGGATAATTTAAGTTGATCTATTCCAGATGCATTCTGCAGGCATGACGATAGACCTACCACATCATGTCAGTACCAAACAGGAAATAGACAGTCTTCTAACTGATGTCTGTTATACATTACAGTCACTATCTAAACCTACCATGGTTACCATGGCAAGGTGAGTATGTACTGAGAACAGATGCTATTAGGTAACACTTATATTTAACAACCACTACTCTCAGTATGGGACTCTTCCAAGTTTTGCTCCACACGCACTAGAGTGCATACCATATGATATCCATAAAAAGCTAACTAACAAGATTGAAAAAATTAGTGCAAAGGTTTGTAGGTCTACAGTTTAGAGTGCATAAAATAACACATCCTTGAAAAACTCTGTAAGAAATTGCACAAATTTTGCACAAATTAGTAAGTTCAGACTAATACCTCATTAGACCTCAGTATACCATAGACCTACAGAACATTGCACTAATTTGTAGGATTTTGTTAGGTAACTTTTTCACAGATATATGGTATACACTCTTCTGAATTTACAAATTTGTGCAATTTCTTCACAAGTTTGCACTGATATATGGTATGCACTCTACTACTACTCCACTATCTACCACACTAACTCACATGTTGATGTTCAGCCGAGATTCAAACCTGCAACCACCCATGTAGACCTGTGGACAGGCATGAACGACAAGGCAGTGGGAGACAGCACATGGCACCCTTACACTATGTGGGCTACCTGTGGACACTTTAACACAGGCAACCCATTCTAATATTCTTTCATTTTGCAGGTCAGCTCATGATGAATACACCCCACCCCATCAAGTAAAGTACATCCAGTCATCTCTCATCAGTATTCTTGGTTCTGTGTATGGTTTGGACTGTATAGATATTCATCTGCATTACAAAGAGCAAGTATAGTAATATATTTATTACACTCAATAGTATACATGTACATGACTTTCTTATTTATGTACAGCAATGGTATTTTGATTTACAAGTACTTTTTTTTTCAATTTTTCTGAAACTTATCATGATTACAAGGTATATRCCAAAGTGCCTGTCTCTCCTTCTTTCTCTCTTTCTTTCTTTTTGTTTATCTCTCCTTTTCCTTTTTTGTTTGTTCTTTTTTTATTTCATTCTTTGCTTTCTTTTTTGACTGCTAAGAGGCAAGCACTGCACAGTTTAGCAATGTTAACATTGACAACAACTTTATTGTATAAAAATATTTACAGTGTTAAAATCTAAAGATAAAATGAAAGAGATGAAATCTAAAAATTGCCAAAAGGGTATTTAACTTCCAGAAACAGCTAAAAAACAAAAAATTGCATAACGCTAGATAATGTAATCAAAATTCACGGGCRCATATTTTATGATATTGTATAAGATAAATTATTACAGAAAAAGTTTTGAAAATGTCCCTTAAAACAGCYCCAAAATGCATTCAGGCATCCCAGACCTCCTATATATCCTATAWTTCCTATAATTTGTATAGGATCCTATAAAGAGCCTATGTTTAAAGAAAACCTCCTATATTTCCTATAAATAGGAYGACTGATGATTGATACATTTATATTTTACACTGTTTAGCATATTTGGCAAAGGAAATAAAATGGCCCCCTTTTTTTTTGGTTCTGTTTTTTATTTTTATGGCTTTTTAGTTCTGTAAATCATTGCCTGTGCACCCTCCCTGCAAGATCCCTGGTTACGCCACCGAAAAGCTATCTTAGCTCCTATAAAGTGCATATATTTTTGGGAAAAAATCCTATATTTTCCCATATTTAGAACTTGCACAGCCTATATTTCCTATCAAATTTGTCTAAAAAGTGGCTGGGATGCCTGTACATTGCAATGCCAACTCGACCCAGGTTTTTCCTCAACCACTGGATGCAATAAGGTTTTTGCTTGCTTATCACAGTGGATGAACTGACTCACAACTTGTTAGTAAAGGACACGTATGGTTCAAGATTTAGACTAGGCTTCATACGTTACCAGTAGGATCTTGAATTCAATTCAGTGCTTTTCATATAACCAGTGTAGATCTTGCAGCATGATAAAGTAYAGTTTCACATACTATCAGAAACAGTGTTTTCAATGAACAGGAGCCGGCTCGCTAAATTCAGGAGAATGACGACTAATCTCTGGGTTTTGTCCTCCTTGTCTGTTCTCGATCGAAGTGCTTGCTGTCCTTTTATTTTCTTCCGGTGTGACATCAGAAAGCACGTTACTTTCAACACTCACCTTGTTAGTTTTGCAAAGTGGCATGCACTTCAAAATGGTGAACACAGCCCTTCGTAYGTTTTCTAACCTGAAGGCGTAGACGAAGGGATTGATGAGCGAATTGATAGTGACCAGAATGAACTGCGCGTCTCTGAACCAGTGAATTAAATCACAGCTGCAGGACTCGCACATGTTCATTAGGTATATCATGATACATGACGGCACATAACAGGCTAGAAATACTGCTAGTACGATCAGGTAGGCCTTGGTTATTCGTTTCTCCCAGATCATGGAGCGTCGATGAGCGCGCTCTAGTTGTCCTGCGCTTCCGTCATGGAAGCTCGCAAGGCTCGACAGTTGGCTTTTCAGAACTCTGAAAACTTGTACATAGGTGAAGATAAAGATGATGAACGTGCTGAGAATTGCGATGTTCGCAAAAACAAAGGCGTACGAGATGAAGCCTACCTCGAAGAATATCATGGTGAAGCCAAAAGACAGAGTCCACACAAAAATCGACGCGTAGACTACTCTTTTGTTATTGACGTTAGCCCTGTACCAGACCGCCCGTGCGATAGCAAGGTATCTATCGACTGTCAAAGTAGCGAGGCTTAGTAACGATGCAGTACAGCAAAGGAAGTAGGCGGTCTGCGAGAGCCAGGACATATTGATACTGAGACCTTTGCCTTCACGGTAGTGGATATAGATCGATAGAGGCTCCACTACACTGCCAACAATCAAGTCTGTGACAGCGAGGTTCAGGATCAGAAGGGTGAAGGGTGAGCGCACTTCTTTGTGTGGGTCTTTAAGGATGGCCAGAATTACTAAGAGGTTGCCTGGCACCGTGAAGATCATGAAGATTAAAGATAAACTCATGTTTGTATAGGAGACCTCCTTTGGAGCCAAGACCCCTGCGCAGTGACCAGGGCCGAACAGCATGTCTGTTTTACTCTGTTTCTTGAATCACGATTGGAGCCTCGGGTGTCAGTTGGTAAAACTAGCAGGACAAGAAAATYTGGAGTAGATCAGCTTCTGGGGAAAAAAAGTAAGGGGGTTACAAAATATGTGTTCGTACTGATCTCTTCGAGTAGAGTTTGTTAGGTCTCTCTCTGGATTTGAGGGTGTTTCTCCGGGTTCTTCGCAAAACCTGACAAACTAAGTTCCAATTCAATCTGTGAGTAAGACGTGCCCTGACTTAGATCAGCCAAGAGGTTGTTTAAGGGTTTTGATCTGTGACATAGACGTGCCCTGACTTAGATCAGCCAAGAGGTTGTTTAAGGGTTTTGATCTATGACATAGACGTGCCCTGACTTAGATCAAGCCAGAGGTTGTTTAAGGGTTTGATGTGTGAGTTAGACGTGCCCTGAAATAGATCAGCCAAGAGGTTGTTTAAGGGTTTGATGTGTGAGTTAGACGTG